GGACCATCTCCAGGGATCTAGTCCGTCTCTAGGATTTGAAGCCCTTCCAGCTTGGTTAAAGCTGACAGGGTTTTCAGAGCATTGGCAGAGTCACCTCCATACTATGATGGAGCATTGGTGGACTTTAGTGGAGGTTTGACAAATGCTCACTTTGAATAAATCCTGTTGACTGAACTCCTCAGGGATACCCTAATCCTGGGATTCGGCAAAGTGAACCCTAAGCCTATCTGATAATGTGGCTGCTGGGGGCAGGAGGAAGGGGCAGGTGCCCACCTCAGCACGATGACTATTTCCCTAAGCTAGTTGGTGATATTCACCCCATAGCTTTCCTCCTCACAGAGACATAGTACTCAACATCTCTAGGTATCTTGAGGATCTCAAATCCTTGTGATGAATTTTAGAAGAGGCTTGGGGTGAGGAAAGTGACAGCACATCTTTAGAAGACCCCCTACCCTTACCTAGTTGTTGTCAGAGAAGACATAGGATTAGGACTAGGGTAAGAACAAAAACATTGTGTGCAATGGGAACATCTCCAAAAGGGTTTTTGGTTTCATACTTCTCCCTTCTGTTCTCTCCGTTGTCACGACCCCTTCTGAAAGGGAACACTGTTCCTAGATAGGGGCCATGGTGGAACAGAGAATAAGCCTTGTGCCAGTTTTTCCTGCTTTTAGACCAATGGCCTCTGCTTGGCTTTCACCTGTGTCCCAATAAATTGTTCTTGTTTCAGTCGTGTCTGACTCTTCATGACCCCATTTGGGGTTTCTTGGCAGAGATACTAGGAGTGATTTGCCATTTTCTTCTCCAGCTCATTTGACAAATGGGGAAACTGAGGCAAACAGGGTAAAGTGACTTGGCCAAGGTAACACAGCTAGTAAGTGTCTGAGGCCAGATTTGAATTCTGGGAAATGATGAGTCTTCCCGACTCCAGGCCTGGTGCCCTATCCACTGTGCCACATAGCTACTCACATGTTCCAATAGATAGGCCCTTCCTGTCCAAGGCACCCTATCCTATTCTGCAAGCAGAGTTTGTGTCTGTTTCACAAGGGAGGGGCTTTCCAGTAAAGATCTCTAAGAGAGAGGATTGGAGGGAGCCAGGCTTCTCTCCATACCCCTCCAAAAGCATCAAAGCTACTAAAAACACTGCTAACTCATATACACAAGAAAATAAAAATAGAACAAAGTGGATAATGAGTAAAATAAAGCACACCAATAAAACAAAGAATCAACTAACATTCTGGAGGCAATACATATGGATAAAGAAATCACCAGAGATTGCTTTTATAAGCATTGCTTGAGGGAACAGGGGATGTTTAACCTGGAGAAGGGAAGACTTAGTAGGGAAATGATACCACCCTTCAAGTATGTAAAGGCCTTAATCCATTCAGCTTTGGGCCTTGCCAGGGGCAGAGTTGGCCAAATGGGAGGGTGTGAATCAATTCTCACTTTAGGCCTCTCTGTCTGGCAGGTCTCAGACCACACTCCTTCCCATCTAGTTATCTGGCAGGGCAACAGGGCCCAGCCAGCAGGCATCTTGCTGTCTACTAGGCTGCCGTGCATGACTCCCAGCTCATCCCCCACCACCCTTTTGTGCCTTTTGCTTGGGCAATCAGACATTACCATTGCTTCTGGAAGGAGCAGGATAATCTCTTGCCTTATGACTCCATTCACAGTTCTTGGGACTGCCTAGGCCAAAGCTCCCCTCCAGGGATACCACTCCTCAATATGGGTTCTCTCCTCTTAGCAGAAGGAAACCCTTTGAGGGCAAGGACTGTCTCATTTTTGACTTTGAACCCACAGAGTAGACACCTAATAAGTGCTGGTTGATTAACTGATTACTACCTGGAAGAGAGTTCAGACTTACCCTGCTTGATTCCAGGGGATACAGCTAGGGGTAGTGAGTGGAAACTTCGAAGATGCAGATTTAGGCTGGATGTAGAGGGAAAACTTTCTAAGGATGAGAGCTGTCCCCAAGTGGAAGAATGTCATGTGCCATCATGCCCTCCCCTCCCCCACCAGAGGTCTTCAAGCAAAAGCCCCGGTGCTTACTTGTCAGGGATCCTGCTGTCTGGTCTCAATTCCAAGGAACAAGAGGCTCCCCCATCTCAGGTTAAACTCATCACCTCTAATCTCTCCCCACCAGACTGCTAACTCAAGCCTTGATTGACCTCTCTTCCTTTAGGCTCCTCTCCCCACTGATTGGAGGGCTGGAGGGCAGCATGTCAAATTCCTCTCGTTGCCTTCCTTTATAGAGGGCAGACGCTGGACTTTCACTCACTCCACCCATCGCCTTCCTGCCTGGCTTCATAGCGGGTCATGTCCCTCCACCCTCTGTCCTGCCTCATTTTGTGTATTGTCTTCCTCCGTTAGATTGTAAGCTCTCTGATGGCATGGACTGTCATTCTTTTTATTAATTGTATCCCCAGAGCTTAGTACAGTATCTGGCACATAGTAGGGGCTTAATTTTATTATATTCATTATAACATTATTATATTTATAAAATTTTTATTTTATTTTATTATTAAGTTTATTGGATTGGATTAGGAAGTTTTTATTCAAATGCTCTCTAAGGGCCCTTCTAGCTCTGACAGCTTCTGACATCCCAGGAGATGGCCCACAATGAACAAATGACATCTACTAGTTGTGTAACCCTGGGAAAAACACTTAACCCTTCTAGGCCTTAATTTCTTTCTCCCTAAAATAGTAGTAGCATAGTGCACCCCCTCCATCTAGGGCAAGGAACCCTTTGGGAACCACAAGGACCTTTCAAAATGGGAACTGTCCAATCACACCAAGCCACAGTGGCCTCAGTAATGGGACAAAGGCCACCGATTATGTTTATGTGTCTGTGTTCACACAAATTCTGGCTCTTGATCAACATCTAATTATCATCGCAAGTTTGTTGCCATATTCAGGCAGCATTGGGGAACAAAAAGAATGTGTGGTTTGTACTCAGAAGCCTTGGGTTCAAATTCTGGCTCCACTGTAGCCTTGGACAAGTCACTTCCTCTTTCTGAGCCTCAGTTTCCTCAGCTATAGGACGAGGCTAATGCTGCTTGTACTGCCTACCTCCCAGAGTTATTGTGAAGCTTAAAGGAGACCCCCATACATAAAGTGTTTTGCAAACCTTAGGAGAGCTATAGCGATATCACCTGTTATTATTTTTTTCTCCTTTATGACCATGTTATAGCTTTGTGAAGTGATGGCTGACCTGTCCACCCTCGCATGGAGGCAGTAGGCCATCAATTGCATGGGCCATATGCTTTGAGGAACACCCTACCACTCTCATCAAGTTATCTTTCCCATTAACCTATCTCTATACAAGGCATTCTACCATCAGAGATGAGTTCTTTGTGTCAAGGTATTGAAGGCCTCAGTTAGCATGTAAATAAACCTAGGAGGGGAAACATATTAAGTCCTTGCTAGTAATTAATGTCTTGATATAGATTCAGTTTTGCAGCCATCACCTGGTGATCTCATTATCTGAGGATAGCTCCCTACAATATGAGAGGTACAACCCACAGAATATGGTGCTACATAGCAGAGTGAAATGGGGCTTGTGTGCAAATCACAGAGAGGTTACTCTCTGGGCTTCATTTTAGCACCTACCTCCCAGGGTTGTTGTGAGGATCCAATGAGTTAATAATTCTAAAGCCCCTTAGTGCCACAGTGCCTGGCACACAGTAGGTGCTATATAAATGTTAGCTATTAAATGTTATTTGGATGAACAGAGAAGTAGCTGTGATGCAGGTGAAAGACCACTGGATTTGGAGTCATTAGATGTTTCAGTCCCAGCTCTTCCTGTATGACCTTGGACAAGTCACTTCCCTTGTTGGGGCCTCAGGTTCTACATTTGTAAAGTAAGGGAGTTGGACTAGATCAGTAGTGTCAAACTCAAATGGGAATGGGGCTATTAATTCATGTTTAAGGATCCCTGCTGGTTTTTACAATGCAATGTTATCTATATTCTATTGAATTTTTTATTCATTTTGTTAAATATTTCCTATTTTAATCTGGTTCTGACTGCACTTGGTACTGTTGGACTAGATAACTGCTGAGGTCCCTTCTGGCTCCAGATCCATGATCCTGACCTTCCTGGGGTCTGTTTCCTCAACTCTAAAAGGAGGTTGGATGAGATGCCCTCTGGGGGTCCCTTCTAGCAGTTCCTAGATATATAATCCTATGAGTTTCTAAAGTGCTTTGCAAGCTTTAAAGTGTTATAGAAATGTGAGCTGCTGCTGCTGCTTCTAATCTCAGTGACCCAGACAGCCCTCTAAGAGATTAAGTTATAGAAGAATCGATGGCCAGCATCAGTGGAGGGAGTTTGCACACAGGAATTTCCCTATACTGATGAACTCACAGGTCTGGACCAAAAAAACCCCCCAAAACCAAACAAACAAAAAAACCAAAAAACAAACACCACCACTTAAAAAATCAGTTTGAAGGGAAAGGAAATGTTTTCAAGGAATCCATATTATTGGTCAGAAACCACTGATGCATGTAATTACTGGTTTCTTGAAGTGAATAACACAAACAACATTGGGTCTCATCTGTTACCCCGAAGATGCAGCTGAAAAAGAAATAAGTGGGAAATGTAGCCTGCCAAGAAGCTGTCTTAGAATGGCCCTTGGAAATTCTGAGCTGCGATAGAAACCAGCAGGCATTGTCTGGAAATCTTTTCTGATTTCATTTCTCCACCGTACAAAATGCCTTTCAGGTGTTAGTAACTTCAGGAGGATTGAGCAAATGTAGCCAAATCAAAAGGATACATTCTCAACATAATTTGAAATACTGGAGGGCTAGCTAAATCAAAGTATATTTGTCTCTGTGTTGTGTAAGGTATGGCATGGAGCAAATTTCGTTAAGTCAACTGACTTTTACATCCTCATTTTTAAAGATTAGGGTTAATGAAAGGGAATGGGAAGAGGTTTATGGAGGAAGCATTCCTTGATCTGTAGAGTTGGGGGATTGTTTAAAACCAGAAAAAAACCACAACCACAACCGGAATTTTGTACACTTTATTAAAAGGTCAAAAAATAAACCACGATATAGAAGTAACATATTAAAATGGGTTTTGTTATGCACATATGCACAGACAAGCACTATAGCGATATAATTTTGCAGAAAAGAAAAGAAGTCCAAGCATCCATTCTGTTGATAGCAGTTGAGGGAACATTATTGGAACAGTTAACACCTCATTCATCTGCTGACCACTGCTGTGATCCATTACAGTTCCAAAGGGCTAACAGCATCTTTACCCAAAACTAATCAATTCTTACTTGTGTTTTTTTTTTTCCTGCCTAATGTTCCTTTTACCTTATGCTTAACCAGAAGTGTCTATGGCAAATAAGCGCGTACTTTACACAGTATAGCTACTATAGATAACAAGCTCTTCAGTTAGCATTTAAAGCCAGTCAGTTTTGGAGCACACATTGTCTTCTTGTGATTTCAGCAACTGCTTCGGCACAATTAGGTGACAACGTCAATTCAAGAAGCGGCAATCATTATCAGGTGACAGCAAATAGGTGGTTTCATGTTTCATGATTTTGATAACAAGAAAACAATCAACCACAATTAAAAAAAAAAAAACCCAAACCCAAACAACAAGCAAGCCCCCAATCCCAAAAAACCCACAACCACCACAAAAGAGAATCAAATCTGAACCAGAGAAATCCTACAATCCAATTAGAATGATGGTCTTATCATCCCCTCATCTGCTAGGACACAAGAGTCATGGTAACAAAATCATTTGGCTTCTAACACTATCAAACATCTGTGTACAGTAATAAAGAACTGGGACCTTGCAATTCCTTCTGTTGTGTATTCAGAGAGAGAAAAACATTACCAAAAGTTGGCTTTCCTTTTTATTCTTTTCCTAAATTTGGCGTGTTACTTTCTATCTTGTTACAGAAGCATAAAGATCTGTATTTCTGATGAAACAGCACATGGCATAGCAGATCACAAGCAAATATTTTTAGCAGTGTTTCTTGAATGAAAAGAATGATTTTAGAGCCATGATTCACTAACAAGTACAAATAGGTATTTCTAAAATCGCCAATATCAGAGAAGGAATGAAAGTAGAAACCAAGAGTCCTGGGCTCTTTAGCACACACTAACCCACTATGAACCATGATGAGGGCACTGCATGGACTCTAACCAGAGAGCAGAGACAGAGAGAGGACACATTTTTGATTGAATTCTAGAGTTTGAAAAAAAAAAAAGAAAGATTCTTCATCTCTGTCAGCCAATGAGAGTTAGAAAATCCTCTAGCAACCTAAAACCCAGGCCAATTTCAGAAGATTTCCCCAGAGGTTGAAATGAAACCAACTAGTAAAATCTGAAGCTTTTAAGGTAAGGTGAGAGTGGAGGACAGTATTTTAGGGAAAAAAAACCCAGATGCAGTCGGTGGAGATGCAATTATATGTAGTTCTCAGGACTGAAGGGTGTCTTTTTCTCTGGACAGAGAGGAATTGTGGAGTCACAGGAAAGTGGTATTTTTAAACGGAATCAGGTGAAGTGAGTTGATGTTTGTTGGACTGGAGGAGTGAGCACAGATTGGACTAATTAGATTTAGCATGAAATGGGTTGGATTGATACGAGCATGGATTGAATTGAATTGGAATTAGCATGACTTGGGTTGAACTGAAGTTAGCTCGGACTGGATTTAACTGGACATAGCATGAACTAGATTGTACTGGAGACTATAGATTGAATGGATTGAACCAGACTGGAGTTAACTTAGATTGGACTGAGAGTCAGCATGGCTCAAAGTGAACAAAAGTCACAAAGCAACTATTCTTCATGACTTAAGGGATCTGAACTACACTGAAGCCATTCACGCAGTCACAAAGATGAACCATTCATGTAATCTACTGAAAAATGTCCACTTGTCCCCCCCAAACTATGGGATCTGATCAAAAGGTATAGGCAGTGTAAGTGAAGACAAGGTTCAAAATCTGGACAGGTAAGGTTAAATGGTGGGGCTGGAAAAATTTATGGAGGCATTCGGTCTATACCTCTTAAGGACTTAACTAGAGATCATTTTGGGGGCCTCTGTCATCAAGCTGGTCATGTTAATTATCTATCTTGCTTTCCCTTTAGAATTACAGCCATTGTGTTAATAGCCCCAGTGGTGCTCTATGGACGATGACTTTTTTTTTTTTATGACTGTTCAATCCTGTTAGTATGAGCCGTTCCTTCTAGCTGGAATGATGGAAAGGTTCTTTATCAGCATTTTTGGAGAAAAACATTTCTGGAGATTAAATATTTGGAAAGTAAGGATAATCCAGGGAAGCAGATGAAGTTTGAGTTAACTTAAAATGTCTTAACTTACTTAGCTTAACTAGTTAACTTAAAATGTGTAGGCCTTAATTTCCTTGATTTGTTATGTGGCTGATTCAAATGATTATGGTAGAGAGGTATAACAGTAAAAAAAAAAATTAATAATGAAGAATGCAACATTTCTAGCCAACTGGAACTGGTTTTTTTTGTTTTGTTCTGATAATCGTTCCTGGGATGGGCTGTTTATAGGCTGTGGCTTCTTTTTCAGGGTTTGTGGTGATCTGATACTAACACTGTCAAAGCAATTGTAAGACACACCAGCTCCAGATGACCTCCCCAAGCCCAGGGCAGGAGCTATGTCCCTTGAAGATAGAGGAAAATTGAGGCCAACAGTTGAGGTACTGAATATTAACCTCCCATCCCTACATGCCATCGTCAGCTCAGCTTACTAGGTAGAGGGGCTTCCGACAGTTGACGTAGGAGCCAGAAGAGACTTAGGGGAACCTAATTCAGTCTTTTTAACATCTCAGCCCAGCTAACCTGCCACCTAGGCCCATGGCTGTTCCTCTGCTGTCCAGTTAGGTCTAACATAGCATGGCTGGCGTGGTCCAATGAAGCCTGCTCAGAGCTGGTCCCTGCCAAGTAGGGATCATGCAAGCAGGGCTCCCTAAGAGCTGAAGGGAAGTTGTGGCTGGAGAAATGGGGTCAATGCAAAACCACCCCCCTAGACAAGTCTGGCCAAAGAGCCTTTTGAAAAGTCCTTCAATTCTTTTATCTGTATTTCCCAATTCTGTTTTGTGTGGCCAGAAGACTAAAGTCAGAGACTAAAGTCAGGGATGAGGGGTTGTCTCTAAATGATTTCATTTCCAACTGGGCGACATACAAAGCTTCCTATACACAGCTTTTCCTGACACCCTCAGTTGTCAGTTCCCCCCTGTCACTTTCTATGTATTTTGTATCAAATCTGTATTGACTCATATGTGTACAAGTTGTCCCTCTGCCCAAGTGGAACGTAAGTTCCTTGAGGGCTAGGGTGGTTCCACTTTGTCTTTGTATCTCTAGCACTGAGTACAGTGCCTGACGTGGAATGGGTGCTGAAGAAATGCTCTAATTAAACTGTGAATTGAAGACATGTATTGTATTGATGGCCATCCATGACAGAAGACTGGGGATTGGGGCTGATCTGAATGAGGGCTGTGTGTCTCCTAACGTATAGTATTCTCCACAGTTAATGGCGGCATCCAAGGGAAAGGAAAAAAGCATGATTCAGAAACCTATCAGTATCTACATAGTCCACGATTCAAAAGAGGGTTGACATATGAATGCAATTAAAATCTGTGCTAATGATTTTGCTAACGGACTAAGAACTGTTCTCCATCTTCAGTGCTGCAAGTTGAAGTTGACCTGTGAGTAATCTGCTGTGTGGTACGCTATGGCAAATGAGAATGCAGTCAAGAAGCAAAGCGAAAATGGCATGCTTTCTGATTAAGGGTTGTAGCAAAAATGTCCTTCTTTTCAAAGCCTCAGTAATAGCTATCTCTTTTACAAACTTTTTCTGTGTTATTACAGATTTTTTATATTCAAAATAAGCTCCAAGGATTTCTTTCGTGGACTATGTACATAAGTGCAAAAAAGGTGTGTCTCACACATTCATTCGCACACTAACTGAATCAGTTTAACTGCAGCATATTGGTAGCTTCAACACTGTTAAAGGGTCATTCCACAATATTTTTTTGTATGTACAGCTTTGCAAATATAAATTAACATTAACATATTCATATGTTTAATTCATTAAGCCCTGATTTTTGCCTCTAATATACTCATGAAAGTAAGTATGGAATCTCAGACAACAGAACGTTGGCAGGCAGAGCTACAGAAATGAAATCAGACTGTTGTGACTTGACACACAGCGGAGAGAAGAGAGAGACATGAAATGAAGCAGAGACCGGCGGCCGGCCGAGGCGGTGCTGTAAATAAAAGGCAGCGGGGTGGGTTGTGTCTGGAGAGTGAAAATACTGTGGAATAACCCTTTCCACACGACAATCTCTACAAGCTATAAAACCTGACTCTAAAGCCATATGTTGTAAACTTCTGGACCGAAAAGGTGACAATGGAGTCACCCATTCAGCTTTCACATGGGGCTTTGGGATTTTTCAAATATTCAATCTCATCTTTCTCTGACAGTATGGAAGGGCACCTTGGATGAACTCATACTGTTTTACTTCATTTGAAATTTACATGTGAAAAACCTTACAAATAATGTCTACGAAGGTAGCCATGTTGTAGTTTTGTTGTCAAGAACTTGAGAGAACTAGTTAAGAATGAATCCGTCATTGTAGGAGTTGTGTACAAAGCTAACTTGGTTCTGAACCTGTAAACTGGACAGACTCTTTATGAACTGTATAAGCCACAGGGGTTCACGGGTTAGAACAGAACTACATGAGGTGAGTTTGTGGAGTAACATCTTAACCTTGCTCTAATTCTCCTTCAAAATTAAATTCATCCATTGGCTAAAGAGCTCAAGAAGCAAAAATAAGGAATACATTAAAAGCTAGCAGAAAATAAAATAAAATTAATTACATGATGATGCACTAAGAACTAAGAAGCTGGTGCCTAGAAACAACATTTTGTACCTATATTTACATTTGGATTAGGTTACTGACTATATATTTTTAGAAAGTTATTACAGTCTTTAACATACAGTATATTCTAAGGCCTTTAACAGGCATATGGTAAAATCAGATCACTGTCAGACAAAAGTCCATTTGATGAGAATGGGCTTTGAGATTTTCCTCATCAATTTCACCTTGTTGTTGTTGTTGTTGTTGTTTTTTAATCTGGTTTCAATGCACGTAAAATGTACAAGAGATAAAGGGGGAAAATGAGGACTCTAGCTTCTTAATCATCCTGTGTATGATGATGTATCAAAGTCTACACTTTAGAGGAATGAATCGGGACTCTGTGACTGCCTCTGACCCGATCCAAGCCATCCCAACTGAGCTCTTGGTGGGGAAGAGCCCAGTCAAAGCTGTGCTCCCAGGGGGTACGTGGGACCCTCTCTCTTTACTTGATAAAATGTAATGTGAAACAGTGCCCAATTAAAAGAGCATTATGTTAATTGGCTGTGGAGCTGAGAATGGCTTCAAATCATAAAGATTTATGTTATTCTGCTTCTGCTGATGGCAGGAGGAGGAAGGGGGAAGGGCATTTTAGGAAGAAGCCTGGCTCTCCCCCAGCCCCCCACCAAGTGGTGAGCTGATAAGCCCAGGCTGTGGCCATTGGGAAGCCACAGCCTACACAGAGCAAGACGACACTTATGGTGAGATCTAAGTGCTTGAGCATGTTCTGAAATGGATGAAGTGGGGGAACAAAATGATTTACTGCACAATCATCAGTGACAGTGTTGAAAACCTTGTCAAGGAATGAGAAATTAAGTGTCACTGCTGATTGCGGAATCATGTGCCAATTGTAAAAGGAAATACTGTATTTGAACCTAAGAATTATCACTGTTTTCAGCATCCATTTTCCTTCAGTCCCTCTTCTTAAAATATTTTGTCTCTGTTCTGGTCGTGCAGCAGTTTTCTGAACTGAAATTACTAACAACCTTGCAAACACTCAGTCTCAGCTTTCTTTTTCCCTCTGCATGACCCATTTTACCTAAGTTTCCCTGTTTTTGCACATTTTTGCATTAGGCTGAGAAAAGTGGACCAAAACTAACTTTGGATAAATAAAAATATAGGTGCACGAAAAATGGGAAGCTTATAAAATGTCACTAAAATTATAATGTTTTAAATTTTACATACAATTCTTGTCAAATAAAGGATGAAATCTAAATCTTACACTTGTTTAGAGTCACTAATTAGCTTGGTGACTTTGTAATAGGCTTTGCTTTTGCTTAGGAAATTTAGAGTCAGACGACTTGTTTTGCTTTTCTTTTCAAACAAAGAAAATTCCAGTAAAAAAAAAATCATTGCACAAGCGAGTTTTAATGGCAGGTTATGTTATGTTTTGCTTTTTGCCAAGGTTTGTTTGGAATTTGGTGAATACTTCAAGCCTTCTTCCCTTGCACTCGCTCACAAATTAGCATGGGATTTGCTGGCAATTGGGGGAGGGGGGGGGAAACTGTCATGGCGCGCACTAAGATTACCCTACACTGGACATCCCTTACTGAACGTCTTTGCTAAAATCCTTTTCTAGCTCTTTTTCTTCAGTGCTTTAAATGTAACATGAAAACAGCTGCGATCTAGGTTTACATTCTATGCACATCAATGCCAGCTGTTGAACTTAAAGAAAATTGGAGGCTTAACGTCAAAGGGACAAGATATACAAAACTCCATTGAGCACAGACAGAATTCCAACCTCCTTTAGCGAAGAAAGCCATGGTCATTAGCAGTACATCCTTTTCTGGCTGAATGTGATCAGGTTTGCTTTTGATTGAGGCACTGGCACGCAGGTTGTGCAAAACCCATTTTGATACACAAAGAATCACTTACAGGAAATACACATCACTTTTTTTTTTTCCACTAACAATGTTAAGACCACGGGAAACAGAAATTCAGTGGTTAAAAGATGCCTGTTAGATCACTAATCTCAGGCAATACTGTTCCGGGATGTTAGGCCGGCCGACACCAGTGAAAAAAATCAAATGAGAAATGAACTGACAGTCTGGTTTGCAGCCTACTTCTTGGGCTAGAGATTAGGACCTATAAGGCTTTTTGTTCATTACAGGCCTAATCCTCTGCTTTGGGATCCTCACCCACTGGCAAAAGAAATGCTCCCTTGGGAGCATTTTTGGGGGGGATCACATCTCTGGAAGAGTGTTGTTTCTCTGAGGCATGAAAGAAAGCCAGGGTCTAGGCCCAGCTCCATTACTAACCGGGGCAAAGTCACTGTCCCCACTTGAAGCCTCAGTTTCTTCATCAGCAAAAGGGAGGGAGGAAGGGCGCTCAGCTAGATGTTTTCTGAAAGCCCTTTCCATCTCTCACATTTTTGTAGGATTCAAATATTCTCCCCACCCCTCAGCTCTCCCTTTCTTAGTCTCCTGCTGTTCCCTATGGGTCAGCAAGTCATAAAATATATATTGCCCCAATTGTATATGCCAGAAACGATGCCTGTTTTTTATCCTCCCTGACGAAAGGACAAACTGACAAGTGATTAGAAAATCATTATCTGCAAATTGATGGGAAAATGCCAAATGTTTCCTATTGGTTCTATTTCTGTAATCAAGTAAACCTTTTCCTTGGTTGTAAATTCTATGAGCATGGACAACTGAATTTATCTCAGCTCGGTGGGGTCTGATCAAAAGGGGCAGCAAAATGTCTAAGAGTCTATAGATTCCAAGTTTCCACCAAACAAACAAACACATAAACAAACAAACAAACAAACAAAAAAGGCTTGGTGAGGGCCTGGGAGACCCAGAAGTTTGAAAATATGGTCAATGGAAATCACAGGTGCTCACGACATCTCAGCTACTGTTGCTTCACGGGTGAAATGGATTGAGACAGAAACTTCCTGTGGGCAGAAGCTCACAGAAATGGCCTGTGTTTCTTCTTGGGCTCCACAGAAAGAGTTCCTCAAGTCAGCTTCTCTAATATCATTCCCTCCCCTCCCCGCTGTGGCTACTTTACGACCATTAACTCTGGAGCTGTGTCCGTTTAAGGAGAAAAGGTCACATTTGGAACCAGCTTTCACTCTCACCTATGCTGGCTTTTCCAGATTACGCCTTACTTAGGAAAAAGCTTCTGGGGCTGGATACATATCCCCACCAATATATGAACATGCTCTTCCCTCTAGGCTGCCCCTAAGTTTCACTAATTAATGTACCTTTAAACCTCCAGGGACCAATTTCTTGGCTGAAGATGTTGAAATGGCTCAGATTTGGAGATTCCCATGGGGGGAAAAGGGGGCTGGGATCCGAGATCCACCAAGAAATGGTAATGGTCCCTTTGTATGACTTTTATTTGTGATGCTGAGAAATTGGTCATGGAGGCAAAGTCTAATTTCATTTTTGTTTGAACATTTGAGGAGCCAGCCGAGGGGTTTCTGCCTGTCCATGGGGCACAGCTTCATGTAAAGGGGAAACAAGCACACGTTGACATGCCACGTTTGCATGTGCAACTGGTAAGGGACTGCATGCACAATCAAGATGTCCTCAAAAGAGAAACCTTTCAAGAAGGCTGCCCTGTAAGCCTACAGAACCAGCCCACAGATTAAAGATAGAGCAACATTCTCATGTCGTGGTTTTCAAGCCCATCATCCCTGTTTCCCACCATAACATTTTTAGTGTAAAAAATGAACCACACCAAAGAACTATATTATGTGGAAACTTAAGACGTAACATTAATGGGAAATGATATTGCGTATATTTGATACACCTTAAAACAACTCAATTAGACTATGATGTAAACAAAACCTCAAGATAACACTTTTAAAAGACGAACATTTATCCACTGATAATATACAACAGTTCAATGTGCATTCGCACGTATCGTGATGGTACTCGGAAAAAAAAAAGATTACGTGTGTTAAAGAAACATGTTACAAAAGTTGATTCTAGTTTGTCTATGTCTGTATCTTATACAAGAGCACTGTTTGCTAATCTTTTCTATAGAGCGCGCTTTTTTCAAAAATTTTTTTACATTCCCATAAATCTGGTATTTCACTTTTGGGGGGGGGCTTAAAAAATTTTTATGATATTTTTGTTTTGTTTTGTTTTTGGTTAACATGTATGCTGCAACAGGCTTACTGTAGAGATGGTAAGAGAGGAGAAATGGAAAAACGTACAGAAAGACCATGTGCAGCGTCCCAAGGAGAGGTTCTGATACTCCAGGATTTTGCTGTTCAGAATTTTCACTGGAAGAAAAAAGAGAACGAGAGATCAAAGGGTTAACCAACTGGGAAGTCAGGAGACAGGTGTCCTAGCCTTGCCTCTGCAACTAATTAGTCGTGAGTTATGAGCCAGGTGTTCCTAGGCAAGATCCTTCCCCTCTTTGGGTTTTACTTTTCTCCTCTGTACAATAAGGAGCTTGGACTAAGTGACCCCTAAGGTTCTCAGATTTCAAGCTCCTTGAGGGCAAGACATGTGGTGGGTTTCAGCTTTGGATCCTCAGCACCAAGGACAGGGCCCGATAAGAAAAGGAACTTCATGTTTTGCCATTTATTTGAAGGTCTCCTTCCAGTTCTGTGAATGTTTGGAATCTATGACAAAGTTAGCAGCATGGTCCTCAGCTCTTTAAAGGCTGTGTCTACACAATGAAAGCCATTCAGATGACCAGCCCCTGACTTCTAACATCCAGATGTTTTGTCTATATGATACTGTATTTCTAGATTTTTAGAAACATTCAAACAGTGATTAAAAAAATTTTTTTTAAAAATCTCACTGTTCTGGAGTCATGTAGCAGGATATATCGGTATCGGGATATGAGTGTAAAACCTTGGCAAATCATATAATATGAATGACAATTTTTTTCCTTTTGAAGAAATTCTCATCTCTTGGTATATACTGAGAACAAACAACATTCTGTTGAAGCATCTTGAGAACCATGACAAAAGAACTAGCTATTCTAGTGCATATTTCATTAACAATTCAAGAAGAGGCACTGGGCAGGAGTGGAAAGGGAATTGGTTGGGGAGGGATGAGAGCGTGGCTCTGGGCCCAGTTCTGCCACTAACTTACTGTGTGACCTTGTGAGAGAGGCCCTTACCCTCTCTGGGCTCATCTGACAAGTGACGGAGTTGGACCAGATGACCTCTAAGGTGCCTTCCAGCTTTACTATTGTCTATGGTTCTATGTTTGAAGCATGCAACCCACGTGAACACCTATAAGCAGATGTGAGGCAGCATGACATAGTAGAGAGAGAGCTGGACTTTAAGAGTCAAGAAGACCTGGGCTCGAGACACTCACTGGCTGGGTGATCCTGGGCAAGTCAATATGGCTCAGCTTCTTTTTTGGAAAAGGTGACAGTTGTTTGCATATTATCTCCCCCATTAAAGTGTGAGCTCCTTGAGGGAAGGGACCATTTTTGCCTTTCTTCATTCACATCCCCAGTGCTTAGCACGGCGCCTGGCACAGAACGAGTGATTAATAAGAGTTCTTGAATGATCGACTCTCTGGGCATCAGTTTCTCATCTGTCAAATAAAGTTCCTTCCTGTTCTTGGTCTATGATCTTATGACATTTGGGAAACCTTTGATAGCCAGTGGCTGCAGATAGCACTTGTTCTAGGCTTTTTTTCTGCATTCTGGACTTGAAAAAAGGGCCATGAGATCACAGGATTTTAGAGATAGAAGGGCTCTTGTCCAAATCCCTGATTTTTACAGATGAGGAGGCCAAAAGGTCAGAGGGGAAATGCTTTGTCTAAGATCACATGGATAATAGGTGACAGAGGCTCGATTTGAATCCAGGTCCTCTGACTCCAAACTCAGTACTCTCTCTATGACAGGATGGTATTGAAGGTGAAGGAGAAATATGACTTAAGAAGAAAATGATTAATGATAAAACTGCATCATTCACAGCTAGCGGGACTGGGAAGTAATTTTGATGGAGTCACACTGAAAGCAACAGCTTCTACAGTGTGGTGGGAGAAGCACATTGTTTGCAACTTCTAAGGTAATCATCTTGGTCATTCAGAATCCGGTCACAAAACCAACTTTGTTGCACTTCACACAATGCAGCAATAAAAACGTGATTTTTCAGGATTCGAGTTCCAGTTAAAAAACTTGTTAGCTTTTCCCCCAATCAAAATGGTCCTGCTGGAGATGAGAAGAGCTAAAAATCTCTTTCATTCAAAATACATTTCCAGACTTGCCAGCTCACTGGGAAACATGCAGTCCCTGGCTGGCATTACTCAACAAATTAATTGCATATTTTGTCTTCACCATTTATTTCAGCTGGGAAACTTGAGATTACTGAAAGCATGCTGGAAGTTGTAAACAAATATCTATTCATGAAGGGTTAGCAAAGAATTTAGCAAATGCAATTACCTAGACACAATATGTCACCTCTAAAAATTGTTATTGATTATAGGAATATGTAAAGAAACTTACTGTTTCTATTCGTTACGTTTACATCTGTGAAACAAACATGCTGCTACTCAGTTCATCTACTGATAACTGGGATATCTAGAGTGGTGAAAAAGAATGCAAATTAAAATCGTTCCTTGAGATCATTCTGGTTACTATCTTTACTGCTTGGGCATAGCCAACAAATAAATCAAATCCACTCAAAGCACAATTTGGGGGCAAAATTAAACATTTACTGTATTGGTTCATCTGGACAAAGCCCTGATTAGAACATGGTTTTGTCCTTAATGAATGCTCTGAACATTATAATTAAGATGCAATCCCAACAGCCATGCCAGCTAACTTTCAGTCTGGAATCATGGCGGCCATGGTAGTGAGCCACGAGCAGCCATACTCATTACAGGTTCCTCTCTTGGACCACAGCCATCCAAGGCTTGCCATTGGTAGGTGATGATTATCTCTGGGACTACTCAAAACAAAGGAGACCCCTGCAGACAACCAAGGCATTTCTAATATCCACTTCGGAGGGAATGTGCTTGGCCATCACTGAGGAATCCTCACGACAAAATCATCTTTCTGGGGGTTCAGAAAGGTCATGGTGAGATGCCACTCGGTGAAACTTCCAACACATTAACTCAAAACGCGGGGTATCACCCTACCCTGGCCTATAGAGGAGAAGCTGTGGTCAAGGTCATAACGGGAAGCAGTTCTGTATTCCTGAAAGCTATGGGATATACATTTCAGGACTGGTGTGGTGGCAACCCTCATGCTCCAATGTTGTGAGCAGCATCTCAGAAAGAGTTGCCACATTACGACATGCGCGGATTCATCTCCGCAGCAGCAGCAAAGCACGCAGGGTACTCTGGATACATGTTGAATGCAATCTCTAGAAACCCATGAAAAGTGGGACATCGATACCCTTTCACCAATCCCCAAAGAATATACTCGGCCCAGATAATACATTGTAGGCATCTAGCTGTGAACACGTCAAAGAAATCTATTGAAAGGGCCAAACCTGATTAGCTGTAGCTGTTGCAGCGAAGGGGACGCTGGTGGCAGGTGTTGTTGCTGCGGACACAGTGGTGGGCGTAGCACCGTGCATCATGGGCACTTTCAGGAGGGAACCATGGAAGCGACATACAGGAAGGTGGAGCATTTATGTAACCATGACAACATGTGGTGGATTGGGGGCGTGGCAGGTATCACAGCAACAAGCCATGTGACATCGTCATGAAGGATACACCAGGGCGCGCCATGCAATTCACAGTGCAAAGCAAGACAGCATTGAAGGGGAAAAAAATTAAAAAGAGAAAAAAGGGGAAAAGCCCATTACAATTATCATTAAGGAAAACTAAAACATTCTCAACACTTAGTACATTTATAAGCAAAACAAAGGTGTAATACACTGGGAAGAGCCAAATTTTCAAAAGTGGGTACAGGGGTTTCACCTGTAAAAATGAGGATCTGCCATCACTGACTACCCAGCATTTGGGCAAAGGGTTAATCAAGTCACATACTTCAAGGGCTTCTTAGCTTGGCTGCTGCCTGGCAAGTGGGGAGGTAGTTCTGTAGGCTGTGTGCAGACATGGGCGCGGATGGGTACAATATCTTGCTCTGCATGTGCAGAGGGCCAGTTAGGTGTGTGGGTACTTACCTAGTTTGCAGACACAAGAGAGCAGTTGGGTTGGTGGGTATGGGGTCGATGAGCAGAGGGCAGGGATTTGTGTGCATGTTTTTACAGGTGCGCCCACTATAGCCTCCTTGGAAAATTTGGCTCGAATTATGATTCATATACACAGTGGACTTTCATAGCAAATATCTGACAAAACATTGTCCTCATGGTACATGTTACAGCTACGACCCCCCCAGCTAACACGGCTACCAGCTGCAACAATATCCCTTTCAATGTGTCGTCTCTCCTGGCTATAGGAAGGTCTTCCTTTTTTTTTTTTTTTCAGGGTTTAACTCATTTGTGGAAATGACCCGGGGGTTACCTGTGACTGGCAAGAATGTGTATCTGATGATTTATCTGGGTTCCAGCTAGGAAACTCAGCAAGATGTGTGAGTCAACCATGGAAGTGAACAGTGTGGGGGTGGGGGTATCAAACTGGGCTATTTCACAAAAGCCAAATATGTGTCTCTAATAGTCATTTCTGGAAATGCTGGAGCTCTCTGTTCTACTAAGGGACCCTAAAAACATCCCCATTTGGGGATTTCACCTTAAGAATGCAGCAGTTAGGTGGACAGCAACCCCACTGAAACATGCAGATTGCATTCCAATGCAGAGCACTTAAAGTATAAAGTGTGGGGAAACTTTCTAGATGGAACAACCAAAAAGTGTAAAAGGTACAGACACACTTTACAAATACTCAGAGGTCTGGGCTTCTAATCAGGTGCACAGAACACTTTACCTAGCAGCAACAGCAATTAGGAACGCCTGGAAGAAAAGCACCACTCCCTCCCCCACCAAACACAGTAGCCGGAGGGCTCAAACCCTGCCATGGTGGCAGTTGTTACTGCTATCCTGGGTTTGTTTGCCTATGGCTCCCCTTCTGGTTTTGTAGCTATGACTTGGTCCCTTATTCCTTCATGGGCTGTCAGGCAGGCTGTTGGAAGCCAATAGGAAAACTACTTTGCCCTAACCGCTGGGCTAAGCAGCCTGTCCATATATTACTCCTGCTTTTCACGAGGGATGGAAGGTGTACTGCCCAGCTTCTGAGAATTCCCCTTAGGGCTGAGGGAGTTGGGGGAGGGAGGAAAGATCAAGGGGGCAGGAAAATACCCGTGATGACCACTGGGTCCAGGGTAGCTGCTTTTTGGGGCTGTGATTTTATTATGAGGGGGACTTGTCTATTTCTAGCCTAACAAAACACTTTTGAACTCACTGTTGAGCCCAACTGCTGTATATGGCATGCAGATCCAGCCTAAGATCAGAGTAATTGGCACGGATTCTTAAGAAAGAGCTAGATCCAGTGGGGGTGGGGTGGGTGGTGTCGGTGAGAGGGAGCTACACTGAATATAGCATTCTGCAGCATTGCTACCTTCATTATCATTTTCATTCCTGAAGACTGAACTCTGAAATCATGTGGTTATATCTGTTGGTTGTGTTCAGTTGAGCTGCCCAGCCTCAGCTATTTCATTTGTGGGTTATTATTATTATTATTTCACATTTTCAAATCGTTATTACAATGGTGACAATAACACGGCTTACTATTGTCTTTACAACAAGCTAAATGTAGGCATGCATGCATACTCCTCCCCCTGGCTCTTTCTTGGGTATTTAATCTTTGGGCAAAAGTGGCATGCTATCAATCATTTAGGGCTTGATTTTCATTCCATCAAATTGCACAGAAATGGAAGGGTACAGGAACCACTTCAGGCTTTGAACAGGCAGAGGAGACCCAGCCACACCACTCAGCCACCCAGCTCTCCCAGGCAACACTAAAACAGGCAATTTCTATTCAGATCAGGAAAAGTTTATAATTGGTGTAGAAAGAAAAACCTACCAACACTTGCAGTGGGTGCCATGCACAGTACTGACCCTTTACACCATGCAGTGAAGCGTGGAAAGATGAACAAAAAGGGATATTTCATTAGTGAGCTCTCGTGTTAGAATTGACTTTAACTAAAAAAAAAAAAAAGCAGCTATTGTCTTTGCAGCATTCAATTCAAGCACATGCAAAAAAAAAAGTATTCAGCGATACTGACAACTTTAAATTCTTTGCTTTGAGAGCAAGCACTCCCACGTGCATGTGCACGTATATACATACCTACACACATATACACACACAGTCAAAATAATTCTTGGATTCTTGGGCAGGAAATGGTTCTTGATTTTTTTTTTCTAGCTGTGAAACCTGTCTGCCACAATTCCTATTCAGCTAGTCCATTCTAAGTGCTTTGTTATTTAAAGGAAGAAGAGATGCTTTCATTTTGGTATAACGTACAGATCGTTTTCAAAATGTGAAATGGGATTTGGGGCTAGGATGATAATGTTTCTGTGACTTCACCTTCGAAAAACTTTTCTTCATTCTTTTTAGGACAGAAACAGGCTGCTAACATTTGGCTCAGAGCCCTGAAGGGGAGAGGACCCTCTCTGCTCAACACATGTTTATTTTGCTCTTAATAAAGGGGAAGGGGACCCTTTCTGAGATTTTTGCTTTGAGGCTCCAGGTTTAAGCTGTTACCAGCTCCAGTGGCTCACTTCTCAACTCTGAGGGGACGATTCTACCTCAGGACAGAAGCTGAGATAAGCCAGGCAGATTTTACGGTCCAACTTCAAAAGGGAGGAGCATCTATTTTCTGCCTGGTGATTTCCATCGTGCAGAAGTCTCTTGTACCCAGATGGCTCTGACATTCTAGGGCTCTATGAAGTATTAACCACTATCGTCCAATCTATCTTTTCCAAGGTGGAGAAGAGTTTGGGGGCTAAGGCCTGTAGCAGTTTTGGCCTAAGTAAGAGAGAGGCTCCATTTGTCCTGCTAGCCCATTTTGATTCTGGAAATGTTTCATATTATTAGAGGTCTGTAAAACGGAGTTGGATGGTCAGGTCTGAGAAGCCTGCTTTGGGTTCCTAATATTTGATAAGAAAAATAACAGGAACCATAAAATACAAAGCAAATGTGGATCTTTGGGGATATAAGTAATATCGCTATAAGCTTGGACTGTTATTTGTGGTTCAGTGGAAAGACCTCTGGAATTAGAGTCAGAAAGACCTAGATATGTAATAAGTTCCCCACTTACTTGGGCAAGTCACTTCCCATCCCAAATGGGACATTCCCATGTCCCAAAGACAAAGACCACAGAAGTAAAGTGACTTAACCAATATCACCCATCTAGTAAGTAACAGAGGTGGGATCTGATTCCAGGTGCTCCTGACTCTAAGCCTAACCCCAGATCCACTTACACCAGACGTGTCAAACTCAAAAGAAGTCTTAAAAAACTTCTGAATGCAGCCTGAGCCAGATTAAAATGGGAAATGTTTAACAAAATAAATAGAAATATAACACAACATAGATAATGTTAATTTGTGGGTTTCTAAGTCAATATGAGGCCTGCAGGGATTCCTTTCTCTTCGAGTTTGATACCAGGGCACTGTGTCACACTGCCCCTAAAGTACTTGGTAAATGTGTAGACATTCATGCATTTATGAACAATACTACCCAAGAGTCCAGAAATTAATTTGAGATTTAACCAAATGAACTATAGGGAGAGATATGATGCAAAACAATTAGAGAAAAGTCTTGACACTTTTCCAGTTTAACATAAATTGCTACTTATCAAGAATTCTGTGAAACAAATAGGATTCTTTTTGAATAGTAGAGCAAGGACACATCATAACACCCCATACTACTTTTGCTCAAAGTTCTATCAATGACATTTGTATGCAGTCTTTAGCCAAAAGCCTTTAAAAACAACAGTAGCAGTCTAAAGATCTCTCACTAATTGCAGCTTGCTGGGTTACTAAGATTGGGCCAGTTAGGGAACACAACCTTACCTGTTGGGATAAACGTTGGTTGCTGCAGCTGCATGTTAGCCAGAGCCTGTTGGTAGTGGAAAACACTTGGGTTGAAGACTGTGGTGGCACCGTTGTTCTTTTCAAGTGCTGGCCTCTTTGGTAAAGGTTGGAGGGCACCAGGTGGCAGGGCCTGTAGAAGGAAGAGATGGAAGAACATCAAGGAGGGCCGGAGAAGAGTGAAAAACAAAAACATCACTGAACAAAGCATGCACCAGCGATGCAAAGTCTGGCCTGTGAATCACCTGCAAACATACTCACTTGCAAGGCAATAATATTGACTACACTTGACACCACTTGATCTTAGCCAAAAGGACGAAGAAGCCATGAACAAGGCAAAAACAAAACAAAACAAAAAAACCAAAAACAACCAAGGGGGAGGGTTTGGCAGGAACGCAGAGCTGGTCTCAGAAAGCCAAAATACTAGAAGACACAAAGGTAGCTTTTCAATTTGACCCATAGGGCAAAGAGAAAAGGAGGGACTCCATTGGGGCAGGACCCAACCAAAGGCAGTCACAGGCAATGGGCATTTTGGAACCAATATCTCAGGGAGCAGGGCAAATGGCCGTTAAGAGAAGGGTAGCGCGAGATATGGATGGAGCTGAAAACAGAGATCCTTGCCTTGGCTGAGGTGTCTAGTTCAAAGTCAACATGCAGGCTGTGTGTGTACAAGGGAGATTAAGTCTACATAAGTGGCAAAAGATGCCAGTCTTTCAGTCTGATGTCGTCATTTCCACGAAGTCAAATACACCAAACACTGGTATGGCTGGAAGGGAACAGAGGGTTGGTAGAAACAACAGGACTTCTGGTTCCGTTCCTATATCTGCAGTGTATTTCTGTACTAATACGTAATGAAAAGACAAGATAGTGTGGGAGAGAGCCAGTCTTGAAGCCCAGTAAGACTTGGGTTCGAGTCCTGTTGACAGTGTAACTGTGGATAAAGGCCTTAACCTCTTGATTTTCTAAGGTAACAAGTTGCTGACCTGCATTGATATGAGTTGGTGGGAGTTTTCTCACCTAAATGTATGAAATCACAGGTTCCCTACCCCTCTCCTTATTCTAATATGTAAGCAAAGAGATAATACTCCTTTTTCTTTTCAGTTACCATGCATAATGATAATAACTGACATTTCTATAGCATTTTAAGGTTTGCAAAGCACTTTATATAAACATTAACTCATCCTAGACTCACAACTGTACTGCAAGGTAGGTGCTATTAGTAACTCCATTTTATAGGTAAGGAAACTGAGGCTTAGAGAGGTCAAGTGATTTACCTGGAGACACATCTAGTTAGTTCTTTTTGACTCCAAGCCCAGAGCTCTGTTCCCTATACACTATGCTCCCTTATCAACAACACATAGGTAGGAGGATGTGCACAATTTGCTACAGTAAGTTTCCAGAGGGATTTGTTTTTTTTTTTTTAAACCTGATAGTTACCTATCAGTTAAAAGTGAGGGGAAAAGGCTTAAACTAGGCATTCTGTACTCTGGAAACCATCCTAATTTGAATAGCTTCTCATTCCCCCATTCAAAAGTAATAAAGGTTGGCTCTTATGTAGTGGGAACGTTTGACTTGAGATGAAACGTACCAACCACAGTGGTTAACAGTGTCAGTTACAGGTAGCCTTTTACCTGTCTTGAGATAGTGGGGTAACAGGAGAAGAAATGTGCTTAGGGAAGTTTCATCTCTCCTCTCCTTTCTCTTTTTTCACTCTGAAGCCTGGTCCCTGGAGTGGGAAACCTTGGGGCCATCTTGGATTCTTTCCTCTCCTCCGTCCATTCGATTACCACCATTCTCTTATATTCTTCCTTAGAAATGTCTATGGAATTCATACCTATCTCAACATTTCTATGGCTACCACCCTAGGCAAAGTCCCAAATACCTCCAAAGCTTCCCAACAGGTCTTCCTGAAGCCCATATTTCTTGCCTATGCTGTCAGACTGATCTTCCTAAAACATAAGTGTAATCCTGTCCCATTGGGGCTCTAGAACCTACAGCCTGAACCTGGCCTTCAGGGCGCTCCACCAACTGGTTCCATAACAAAGTGATTGATGGCTGGTACTGTAATATTATATAATACTGGACTGGTTCAGAATGAAGGGGATGGAAGTGTTCTGGTCCCTTGTGGATTTAGTTTCTTAGAACACATTAAAATGTATTTATTATGAAAATCATTCGAGGCAGTGTGGAATAGCTGTTAGAGGATCCCCCAGCTGTGTGACCCTGGCCAAGTAATTTAACCTCTCAGTTCCTCCAGACAGCTCTCTAAGGCTTGAAGTTGTAGCACAGTTAGTTGCCAATTGTATGAGTAGTGAGAGTTCCCTACATCAAAGAAATCACATACCTGGATTTTTTAAAAAAACCCAATGACCAAAACACCAAACCATACAATTTGTCCTGTGGCCTCTAAGAATAGGAGGAAAAAGAAATACAGACTCATTAGTAAATGATTCTCTTCAAGAAAGGGTCTTGGAAAAGCAAGCAGAACTGTGAAGATTTCATGAGGGAAGGCATGTTGACTCTTCCAGTGTTTCAGAAAGGGGGATCTGACTGGTCTGCTTGGCTCTCAAGGGCTGGAGCACTCCAGCAGCAAGGGCAGAAGCTACAGTGAGGCAAGAGGGCCTCAAAATGAAGAGAAGCTTCTCAATAATGGGCATTGCCCCACAAGGGGAGGAAAGAACTAGCTCATACAGTGGGGTCTGTAATGTAATTGAATCGAGCAAATATTTTCTAAGCATTCGTTTTGTGACAGGCACATAACATAAGGGACCCAAAGACAAAGATAACTATCCTTGCCCCCAAGAAGCTTACATTCTACTGGAGGGAAATAAGCTGTAAACAGAAAAGTAACTACCAAATATGTACAAGATCAATGGGAAATGATTTCAGGAGGCACTTCAGGGTAGCCTTAAATGGAGCTAGAGATTGGAAGAGGTTGAAGTGAGAAGGGACAGCATTCCAGACATGGGGACTAGCTGTATAAAGGTAGGGTGGCAGGAGATAGAATTGAGCACATTGGGAACAATCAGTAGGCCATTTTGGCTGGTACAGAGAGTGTAGTAATATGAAAGAAGGCTGGAAGTATGAGTGAGAGCCAGACTGTGGAGGGCTCTCAGTGCCAGGATGAGGATGTTTGTATTTTATCTAGAAGCCATCCAAAATTTTTCAGCAGGGAAATGAAATGGTCAGATGTGTATTTTAGGAATATCAGTTTGGTAGCTATATATAGGGTAGACTGGAGAGACGAGAGAATGGAAGCAGGGAGATGAATTGGAAATCTACTGAAATAGTCTACATGAGAGGTGCTAAGGACCTGAACTAGGGTAGTAGCTCTGGAAGTAAAGAAAAGGGGACATACATGAGACATGTTGTGATGGCAGGATTAATAAGACTTGGCAAGTGCTTGATATGGGGGGGGGGAGAAGAGGCAGAGGGAGGAGTCAAGGATGATTCCAAGACTGTGAAGCTGGGTAAATGGAAGGATGATGTGTGCCTGACAGAAATAGGGAAGTTTGGAGGAGGGGCAGGTTTCAGGGGAAACATAAAGGGTTTCATTTTGAACAAGTTGACTTTGACATATTAATTGGACATCTAAATGGAGATAGCCCTCCAGTAGGCTGTTAGTGATATGGGATGGGATTTCCCACTGGGCTGGATATATAGATTTGGGAATCATTGGCCTAGAGATGAGAATTGAAACCATGGTGGCTGGTAAAGAGAGTAAGAGTGGCAGATAAGAGAAAGGCCTAGCTGAGAGCCTTAGGGCACATTCAGACTTAATGGTCAGTAGGGAAAAGAATGATGGTCCAGCAAAGAAGACTGAGGCAGAACAGTCAGCCAGGTAGGAGAACCAAGAGAGAACAGTATCACAGAAGGCAAGAGAGGAGAGTGTTTTTGATCTGTCCAGGTTAGTGAAAGGTGTTTAACACTGTTTAAAAAAAACTGCTGGAAAGTAGCATGAGGACTGAGATGAGGCCATTAGATTCAGCAGCTAAGAACCACTGGATTTCACAGTTGGTGACCTTGGAAGGAACAGTTTCAGTCAAGGGGTGAGACTAGAAGCCAGACTTCAACGGGCTGAAGTAGTGAGGAAAATGGAGTAACAAATATAGCATGGGAGGACTTAGAGAATTCTGATAGATCCTTCTTTTAGGATGACAGGACCATAGACCTCCAATGGGAAAGAGCCTCAGAGACCATCTGGTCCATTCTCCTCATTTCACAGAGGAGGAAACTGGGAAGAAAAGATACAGGATGCTAGCTTGAGGTGATGCCAGGCTACAGTAAAGTTTTGGGGGCTTTTTTGTTTTTGAATTTTAGTTTCAGGATGGGCATGTTTGCAGGTGGTAGGGAAGGAGCCAGTAGACAAAGGAGAGGCTGAAGATGAGTGAATAAGAAGGAATCATTGTGGGGCCAAGCTCCTGGGGGAGATGAGAGGGGATGGACACAAATACCCAAGCAGAAGAGCTGGCCTTGGGAAAGAGAAGAGCCGCCTCTTCCTCAGGATCACTGGAACTGTGTTAAGCAGATGATTGCTTGAGAGGGAATTCCTGCACCAGGTAGGAGGTTGGATTAGATACCATCCAAGTTCCCTCATAATCTTAGGCTTTTATACTTTTTAGTTTGTCATCTTATTTATGTGTGTTGCAGTCCATTTGTGATTACCCATGACTGGGGGACCAGAAATAATAATATGTAGAAGAAATCCAGAGCTATTCCCCCAACCTCATTTTTAGTATCTAGTTTCAAGCTTTTTGCATTTTGGGCAACTATTTATTAGAGCTACTCAGAAGGAATGTTTTTAGAGAATCTTCTCTTCTTTCTACTCTCCCTATTCACTCTTAGCCAGTAGTGCTGGGAACAGAGAAACGGCTAAAAGCAAGGCAGCAAGAGAGGAATCAGGGAAAGGCAGAGAGCAGGAGCGAAAAGCAAAGGGTTTGCCTAATCTCTAAACTAGATGTGATCAGCAGAGGTCCCAGTCCTGAATATTCACTTAAATTTGATGAGATTCTATTTCACAAACCATATAAACCAAGAGACCATTAGGACTGGCAGGGACATTTGAGACCATTTACCCCAATTTTACATAGGAGGAAACTGAGCTCCAGAACAGGGAAGTGACTCACCCAAGGTCACACAGAGAAATAGTGATAGAGACAGCCCAAGGACACAGACTACTGATTTCCCAGCCCTGTAATTTTGCCACTGTACCATGTGCCCTCTCCCCTTTTGGGGGCTTTCTCTTCTGTATTTTAAAGGGCTTTCTCTTCTGTATTTCCCTTTCTCTTGTCTGCAATATGGTGCAATGGATAGAGCTGGACCTGGAACCAGGAAGACCTGAATTCAAATTTGGCCTCAGAGGATTACTTGCTGTGTGACCTTGGGCAAGTCACTTAACCTCTGTTTGCCTCGGTTTCCTCAACTGTAAAATGGGGTTATTAATAACAGCTACCTCCCAGAGTTGTTGTCACTTATTAACCTGTGTGACTTTGGGCAATTGACTTCACTACTCTAGCTTTAGGACCACATAACTATTAAGATCCTTTTCAAGTTAAAATCTCTGATCCCACAAATGACAGTGAAAATCTACACTGTACAACAATACAATTGACAAGAATAATTGGACTGCACTAATTGACTCCAAAATTGGACTCCAATAATTGACAATTGGACAATAATAATTGAAGCCCACTTAAAAAGGGGTCTACTTTCTTCAACTATTTTGGAAAGTAAATTTAACACTCTTCTTTCCCCTTTGCCCATTGAAAAGGCTTCTTCCCACTCTAGTCAGAGGGCTGCAGAAAAAAATCAAAAACCCTAACGAAAGAGAGGCTTGACAGAGGTCACTTGACTTAGGAGAGAGCCAGGTCCTAGGCCCAGCATGGTCACCACTAGCCCTGAGAAAGTCACTTCAGCTCATCTGTAAGGTGGAGCAAAGATTCCCTCCACTCTTTACCCCACAGGGATTTTGTTAACTAAGTCCTCTGTAACTCTCAAGTGCTGACTGGTGTTATCCAAGTATGTGATTGATCTTATTTTCATTCCCATGCTTTTCCTGTGGCTTGGGACACTGTGAACGAGCAGCCATGGCTTCTGACCCTCTTTAGCTCAGTTTTTAACTCACACTTGGAAATACCTATAAAAACCCTACATACTGAAGGCTTCTTGTGAAAATGCCCAGCCAGTTGCAACTTCCTTGGGAGGACAGAATTCCCAGGGCATCGAGCCTGCTGTACACTCACCCTTTAGCCCTAGGAGATGCCCGTGTGACTGATATGGTGTAAGAGAGGGGAGGGAAGTGGGAGGGTCCCACTGATTTTCAGGTGGCACTGCAGGGAGGCTTTGAATCAGTGGGACAACTGTGAGCGGGGCCCAGAGCCATCCTGCCTCTCCCATATCATGTATTATTTTGGAAATGGGGAATAATAACCACACTCAGACTCTCTCCCTCCCAGGGGCTGTTATGAGGAAAGTGCTTTGGAAACTTTAAAGTATAACTAGGAGCTATTATTATTCATGTTAGAGGCAATGCAGCATAGTGGCTAAGGTGTTCCAATATCTGACACTTACTAGACACGTGAATCTGGGTAAGTCATTTAACCTCTGTGGCGGAACTGACCCAAGGGAATACTTCCTTAGTTATGGCAAGGTTTAAGATGGCGAATTCTTAACAAAAACAAAAGCTGCATATTTTCAAATGCTCCTTAACGGATCTGACGAGATGTTCCAAGTCGTTCTGGCTATTTTTCCATTTATGCATGTTAACAGTCGCGGCCATTTCATTCTGTACCTGCTCCTCTTTCAAAGCTCCCAGGTCTTTGCTCCTAAGACTGGTATAAACTGTTTAAAATCCATTATCATACTGCTAGCAGCAAGAGTAAGAAAATTCCCTGGGACTTATTTTCTAAGTCATAGGCTGCTGATTTGTAATCTGTATTTGTAGTGAAAGTTTCCAAGCTGAGGAAATCACTGACCCTTCCCTTATTTGTGAGTTATTAATGTTAATGATAACACTAATAAGATGCTTTTTGTCTGCTAGTCATTAGCATCAGCTTTAGAACAGCTCACATTTCTTAAGGTTTGCAAACGCTTTACATTTTTTATCTTATTTGACCCTCATAACGAATATGGGAGGTAAGTCCTAGATATGTTGTCCCCATTTTATAGATGAGAAAACTGAGGTTCATAGAGGGGAAATGACTTGCTGAGGGTCACATGCTTATGAAGCACCTGAGGTAGAATTTGAGCCCAGGTCTTTCTGACTCCAAGGCCAATGCTGTAGGAATGATGTCATGCTGAGAAAACTATCTGGGAGTGGAAATCAATCAACAAACATTTATTAAGCATCTACTTTGTGCCAGAATGAAATAGTTTTGACTTTTAAGGGGCTAACATTCTACATCTTTAGCAAACACTAACGTCAAGAATTTATTCAGTCTTTCTGTTATGGTCACAGAAAAAGCCTCACAGCCAGAAAACTTGGTGTGCGATTGTGAGCAAATCATGTAACCCCTCTGAATCTCAATTTCCTCATCTATAAAATGGGAGGAAATCATACTTGGACTATCCATCTCACAGGACTGTTATGGTCACATTCAGGTGTTTCAAAGGCTACTCCTATCTGAAAACAGACTGATTTTAAAAAAAAAAAGGAAAGAAAAAATCTTTCCCTCCCCCAAAACACAATCACCACCCCTATTGCACACAACACCTCACCAAACCTCTGTAATGATGAAACTGCCCTGAAATCAATCATGTGGATTTCTGACTTTGAGCTCAGTATTCACACAATTGGTGAAATGCAAACTTTCTGGGCAGAGCAGGCCGTTTTCTGGAGGTCCAAAGCATTCCCCATGAAGACGGGCAGCCCCCTTGCAGAGGACAAATGGCAAAGTCTTTCCACACAGTGACATGCAGGGCAAGAAAAGGGAGCCCCAGGTCAAAGGCTGCCTCACTGGGGTCCCTCTGGGGGTGGACAGCTGCTGGAGTCCTAATTAACAGGCAAGGAGCAGCAGAGGGCCAAGGAGTGAAGGCTGGGTGGCATGAAAACACAGCAATAAGATGGACCATGCAGCCTTGGGGGCGAGGGAGGGGGAAAACCATGAAGGCATCGTACAATATGGCTTTTCAAAGGCTAGGCATGCATTGCATGGGGCATTCACTCTGGTAAATGCCCCATGCTAACTCTGTTTGTCATTCAGCCCCTCTCAAGCAGCTTAGAAGTGAAAAGAAGTGTGGTTAGATACCAATGAGTTTTCTAAAAGTCGATTTGTAAGTTGGTACAAGGAGGTTCAATACACTTGCACAATGACACAAACATTGGTGGGTTTTTTTAAACGCTTAAAAAAATTTTTTTTTTTTAGAAGATAAAAACAACCCGCCACCTCTTTTGCTCAGGATGTCGAAGCTGCTTTAGAGGTAGGACAAACAGCAAGGGGTTTAAGGAAACTGCTTCCTGAATTTTTTTTCAGCTTTCCTGAGTTAGAAACATTTTTTTCCTGGGTTCATGGGTTTTTTTTAAATTTTATTTTAATTAATTAATTAATTTATTTTTTGTTTTCCCCCAGAGCCTCATACCGACATGCCTGAGAGGATTCCTGCTGGACAGCAGGCTTCCTTTTGCTCCCTTTTCCTCCAGGGCTAAAAAATCTCAAAAAGTTAATGAATAATGTAAACTCTTTCCCAAAGCTAGGGAATGCCGTGACACAAAATCCATAAATGTTTTAGAACAACTAGCTGATGGGCATAGAAATAGGGTTGATTAGTTGTTGGGGACCCCAGTCGCATGAATAAAACATGCGTTAGTTTTATTTGAAGATCAACTAGCACTTAGTAGTAGTTTAGTAGTTTCCAGATCAACCCAAAACAAAACAAGTCCGTTCCAAGCTGAGGTACCAGGGCCGCTAAACGAGTTTTTCCAAGCTGAGGTACCAGGGCCGCTATACGACGCAAGGAATACAATGAGTATCTTCTAGCTCCCCAAAAGGACCTGGCATCAATCTTTCCACGAAGAGAAGGCCACCTGACTTGTGCATGCCGGGAAAGGGCCCACTGCTTAAATAAACAAACAAACAAAAATCCCCATTACCCTAGAATTTCGACTGCATTCTCTTCTGTCATCCTAATAACAATCTGGCCCTTAGAGACTCCAAAGGGTAAGGAAGACTGGCTCCCTCTTCAAAATTCAGGACCGTTGGTTTAGCCCTATTGGCCTCATGAATAGAGGCAAGAAAAGTCCCCTGTAGGGTACAAGGCACTCTTGTTTGAGGCTCACCTTCAGCGGGCTTCTGTTTCTAAGAAGAGTAGATCAGGGGTGCCCATAATAGTGTTGCTTTGATGATTGCTGTTGTCACCACGGTGGGAAAGGCCTGCACTGCTGAATGGCACAGCACTGAGGCCATAGATCACGTCACTGTTACCTTTGGGACTGGGATACCTATGGCAAACCCCTCTTTCCAGCACTCACAAGAAGGAGTACTGGGAGCAGGACTAAAGGGAATGAGGTGTAGACAGCAGGCACCAGGTTGGGACTCCTGACCATTCTGTTCAATCCTTTCGATTGTTCTACATTATGGGATAATGAATGTGCTTATTACCTTCTTTAAAAAAAAGCAAAGAAAACAAATGTCCTGGGACAATGGGCCCCGCCTTACCATTGCAGCTGCAGCTGTCTGGTTAGCCTGGTGTTGAGCTGCCTTGATTTTGGCTTGCAGGTGTGCAGGGGGATGAAAGTACTTGCATTTCTCCCGAGAGCAGCGGCCTTTGATGTAATCCATGCACACGGTAACAGTGTTCTCATTTGCGTCTATCATGGCAATATCAACAGGGTGGGCATATCGACAATCATTCTCACCTCGGGTACAGTTTCCACGTTGAAATTCTCTGCAAACCTTAAAGAAAAAGCACAAGGAAGATTTGGACACATACATACATACATCTTTTAGGCCTTCTTGTGTCAAGGCAACTCTGAATAATGGGATGGGTGACACACTTCAATACAAAGTTGCAAGCGGGCAATGGCATAAAAAGAAATTACTTAAGAAGTATGGATAGACACAGACTTTCAGTTCCTGTAAAAAAGAAAAGAAAATTAACATGCCAATCTCCCCCAACACTACTTGTTGAACATGCATTGTCTTGAGGCCTGCATTTAATCTGCGGTCAGGACCAAAAGCTTGTAATGTTTGCACACAGTAGCTATTTTCCTAAGGGCTCCGATGAGTTTTTATCTCACATCAATGCACTACTGGTTTTTCACAAGAGACCTGTGAACCATGACTGCCTTCCTTGACATGGTGTCCTATTAACTTTCATTATGAGACCACAATGTGTTCTTAAGAGGTCGCCAATAAGGCCATCTTGGTAAAGAATCAACAGCCTCTTGCTTTGAAGTAATGGCTAATGACATGTAAGGCATAACAGTGTGGCTTCAATCAGGCCAAGTGCAGGTGGACATTTCATTTGGATTTCCCTTCCTAAGAGATTATGGGAGGATCTCCAGGGCATTGGCCTCATGTTGGGTCAAAGGCTTCATTTAATTTATCGCAAGGCTTAGCCGAGTGATTCTGTTTCCAAAAAGGGCTGGCCACTTGTTTAAAGAGGGTGGCATGGTTGACAAGTAGTCAAGTTCTAGTTTGAATCAGAGGGTCACTTACAGACACAGTAGAACTTTGCTGTAATGTTGGTGCCAAGAGACAGGCAACATACCCGCGTTTGAGATGGCCAATATTCCATGGAGAAAGATTCACTATCAATCACCATGTATATCAGGAAAGAAGATCTATGATAAGGCGATCTCTTATACTTCAATGGATCCAAGATCTTGGGAAGAGGGAAGCTTTCTCTGATGGGATTTTTATCATAGGAACTAAAATTTAAAACACGCTCTCAACTCCAATAGTCTGAAGGTGACTTTAGCAGTGGTCCACTGCCATGGCATTTTTTTTTTAACCTTTGTATAAGCGAATTGCAAACTACTGAGTTCTGAAAGTCGTGTGCTTTCCATAAAAGGCAACGTATCCTTTCACGTTAAGGGTTTTCTTTCTATACAAATACCTCCAGTTTATCTGTACGCATCGATTTCTGACCAGCAGTGCCTCCTGGTACTGTGACAGGCGGGTTTCCAGACATCAGCACAGGAGCATTTGGTAAAAGCTCTGCAGGAACCAAGCCCATCCCAGGAGAAACATGACTTAGATAAGGACTGAAAGCCATGGCGGGGCTAGTCGCAAGCGATGGAGTCACAGGAAATGTAGTCTGCATTTAGAGGAGAGAAAAGGAAAAAAAATGTCACATACATCTGGACTTCAATTGTCATCAATATTACATACAGAGGTACTCTTTTACCCAGGGCGAAAAACAATTTTATCATTTTTACTTTTGATTAATTCATTTTCACATTAATCCTCAGATATGGGTTGCTTTTAACACAGCAAATACCATTATTTTTAGGGGAAAAACACACTGATGATGTTTGAGGCTTAATAATCTAATTAAGAAAGCAAGCCAGGTAATTGTAACAGCCCCGCAGCAGCCAATTAACCTCCCCCCCCCTTACTGAGTTTCTTCTTTTCAAGCTGTTCTCTCTCCCTAATAGCAATGTCACCCACAGTAACACATGCCTATGTATTACCTTAAAATGTTCTGATGCTTCCCTTCCCTCAGATGCAACTAGACTGGCCCAGATCCATATCTATGATCTCTTTTGTGTCCCTCACAATGCTCAGGTACACAGTGGGCGCTTAATAGATGCTTATTGATTTGAGCACTATTTGTCAAATACCTACTATATACTGTGAACACAAAGGTAATAATGAAATAGCCCCTGCCCTCAAACAGCTTACATCCTACTGGAGGGAAACAACATGTACACAAATGAGGCTTCCATATATTCTACTAATATTTCTACACTACACTTTCTATTGGAGTTCTTAAAGGGAACTTGTGCTAGTAGTAATAATAATAATAATAACAATAGCTCCTGATCATAAGGCATTTTATGACTACAAAGTACTTTCATATCTCACGTCATCTGAGCCCACAAATATTGTTGGGTCCATTGGACACATGAGGACACTAAGGCCCAGAAAGGAAGAGTGACTTGGGCCAAGGTTGGGGAGCTAGGCAGAGGCTGAGGCAGAATGGGAAGAAAGGTCTCTGGGCCCCAAGGCCAAGGCTCCTGCCATGATTAGGTCCTGGCTCGAGGAGGTCTCAGAAATAGTCTGTGTGCAATAAGAGTTGGAGTCAGTCCAGGAGGGACTGGACAATAGTATGGTAAGGAAGACAAACTGGGATACATCCTGGATTTGGATATACAAAGAGTTGGGGCAGGATCTATGATCTTAGATTTTACAATTGCCTACAATCTACAAAGGCAATCTTATCCTCAAATAGTTTCATAAAAACATGTATATGTTTTTATATACACATACATGTATATATGTATGTGTAAAAATATTTAAATGTATGTAACACACACATACATTTTTTCTTTTTTTAAGAAGAGGTAGTATGATATGCTGATTTAGAATCAGAGGACCTGAGTGTGAAACCGTGGTTTTGCTATTTACTACTCATATGACACCTTTGTCAAGGCCTGTCTTTCTGTGCTTCAGTTTTGCCATCTGTAAAATGAGAGTGGGGGTTTGAACCAGAGGCTCTGGAAAGGTCCCTTTCTTTGGAATACCAGTGATCCTTTGAGGCCTGTGCCATGCTTATACATGAGGCTTATTCTCTAGTTGTTCTGTGTGGGTTCTTGTCTCCCTAACATAATGAAAAGTTCCTATGGGATAAGAGTGCCCTTTTTCCCTCTCCTCGATCACTGGTGGCATAAGACCCTCTGGGCTGGGCACAGAGCTTGGGCTCATTAATCAATCACTCATTGAGCCATGGAGGGAAAATAGGCAATATGCAGAGGAGGAGTGGAAAGAGTATTGGATTTTGAGCCCGAAGACCTGGTTTCAAGTTCTGGCTCTGCTACTTTGACCATCTAATAAAAGTCCCTTCTCCTATTTTAGGGCTCAGTAAGATGCCACTTTAAAAGGAAAGGTTCAGCTCAGATGATCTCTAAGGTCCCTTCAAGCCCTGACATTCTATGCTAATCCCTGAGATGTGAATAGAAATTTCCTGAGTGAATAGTAAATCCCAGTTAAATATAGAACTCTCCTGGTGGTAACAGTGCCATGAAACTGGGTGGAGCAGGGTAGGAGGCAAAGGATTCTCAATAGTTTTTGCTTGCTTTGTTGCAATGCCAAGCTTCGTTAACTCCACCCTCCAGCCTGAGAGTTCTTATCCAGTTGCCCAACAAATCCACTTCTCAAACCCAGTAAAGATGGAGGCAGTTGTCTGCCTACGCAGCGGTACTGTAATGGAAGGCCAACAGGTCCCCCAACGTCTGCCCCACCAGCCTGCCATGTTGTTACGAGCTCCCAACCCCTTTGGGGTCAGACATCAGAGGAGTGGGGTGGGGCGAGATGGGAAGGGTGTTGTCTCCCAAAGGGCCCCACACATCATTGTTGGGAGGGCCAAATGAGAGAAAGGATACAAAGGAACCCAGAATGTCTAAATTGAATTGACCCTTAGGGGTCATTTATTCCAATCCCCTCACTAAACAGAGGAGGAAACAGGCCTCTAAAGTGCCAAGGAAATGGGAGCTATGATTATTACCTGGAAGAAGATGGCCTTCTAGTTCTTTACAATGGGCACACCAGCATAGATGAGTTGATCAGATTAACTAACTAGAAACCAGTTCTCACTTAGGCAGCCCAGAGGGAGCTTAGTTTGAAAGGGATGAGATAAACAGGGAAGTTTCATTGGGTTAAGGACAAGCTAGAGAAAGGGATGGGAGCAACAAACTTAAGTGAGCAGGAGGAAGAATGGAGGTGGAGGCTCCTGATCAGTTTTGCCTACCTGCAAACCCACCTATGCAAACCTACCTATGGACTCAGGTGATGCGATTGACAACAAATCATGCCAACTCCCACACATGGAGCATTTCATACAGTGGATCTCCTTTGATGTGCTCAACACCAACCCTCGCCCCACGGGCAGTCAGTGAAGGCTTATCTTCCCTCCACTGGAGAACCAATGGGACCTGACCATGGTCTCTCAACTGGTCTAGTTAAGGTATGGAGCTAGGACTCTCCCGTATCCTACGACTTACTAAATGAGATTGATAATTCCAGGAATGAGCTGATGTGGCATGTATTTTATTTAGCAAGATAGGAATCTCTTGGAAATGGCTAATCAGGCATTCTGAAGCAATAATGCTGACATTATCAGCCTAACTACTGATGGATATCTATTCTCCCCAAACATCCAAAGTCTAAGGTGTTTCCATGGCTACTGTGAACCACACAAAGGTATGTGCTCCTACTTTCTCATGGTGAATCTTTCAATGAAGAAAGACAAATCATTTTTCTTCGCTCAGACTCTTTGTTGACTTTGCCTTGTTAGCAGAATCTTTAACTTTCTTAGTCATGTGAGTGACCAAAAGAATTATGGTTAAGGGGCCCTGGGGATGTATTTTTCTGAATGAAAGATAATTGTGAAAGACTATACTCTCCTTGGTGGTGAGCCCTCTGCCTGCTTCCCTTCGCCCTTGCCACCTGACTAGGAAAGAAACACCCGAATACAGAAGCAAGGATGTGAAATTGCTGGCAGTGTTTACTTAGAGGACTGAGTCAAACTGGGGGATGCTTTCACCATCCAGGCATAAGAGTAATGGTGAAAGTTCATGGGTAGGCCACAGACAACCAGCAGTGACCAGGGCTATAAACCAGGTATCTCAATGGGCCCAAGACTCAGTAGGTAAGGAGAACTCCTGTGAGTTATCTCCACAAGGTCCTGCTCTTCTTATTCCTGCTTCCCATTGTTGCCTATTGAAATCCTATTCATCCTGCAAGGCCCTGCCCTGGTGCCAATCCTCCATGAAGTCCTTCTCATTTGCCCTGTATCCCCCACCCCACAGTCAGAGAAGTAGCAGAGAGTGGCACAGAATTCTGAGGACTCTAGAGGCCTTTTATAGTGGAGGAGACGGCACCAGGAAGTGACTTGCCCTAAATCACACAGCTAGTAAATAGTGGATCAGGGATTCATATTCAGGTCTTGTGTGTTGTACTCGGGTTTTCTAAAAGGGCTGCTTGTGTAAGTCTTATTTCTCACATGCCTTATTTCCTCCAAATAGACTATAAACCCCCCTGAAGGCAGAGACCACAGTGGAAAGAAGAGACTTTGCTGAAGTCCTAGCTGCAACACTCCAGGCATGCCATTTCCCTGAGTCAGAAGATCTGGGTGAAAATTCAGCCTCCATTATTTATGACTTGTATGACTCTGAGTAAGTCACTTGATATCTCTCAAGCTCAGTCCCTCAGGTGTAAAAGGAAGAGATTGGTCTAAAAGTTTTCAGAGTCTTTATCCCCTCTCCCCTTCCAGCTCTAAAGCTGGTGATTATATGATCCTTAAAACTGTTTTGCCTTCCTCAAAGGACTGTGATGAAAAAAGTGTTTTTTAAAAATTTTTTTTTTTTTGGCAATTGGGGTTAAGTGACTTGCCCAGGGTCACACAGCTAGTAAGTGTCAAGTGTTTGGTCTGAGGCCAGATTTTAACTCAGGTCGTCCTGACTTCAGGGCGTGTGCTCTATCCACTTTGCCACTAGCTGCCCCCAAGAAAGTGCTTTTATAAGCACTTTTATAAGTACCTGAAAGCATGGTACAAATGTGAGCTGTTATTTATATCTATATAATTTTCTCCTTCAAACATTTAGTTCAGAGTAGTTACTTAACAAACATTCATTGAATGAATGAATGAATTAAGGACCAAGACACTGTTCATTCAATAAGTGAGTTATCCTTCTCAGTATTACCACTAGTACAGTATGACTATTTAATATTTCATTAAGATCTAGCCTATTGCACATCCATGTAATGCTGTCCATTTATAGTGCTGCGGGTGGGGTGGGGGGTCAGTATCACAGGGGAAGGTTTCTCTCATGCTGGTGGAATGTTACAAGCTAGTACACTAGGTAGCAGCTGTCCAACTGCTTTCTTTGGAGTAGAGGGCAGGAATCACGGGGCTGACCAGGTTTGCCAGACATTCCCAGTACATGAGCAGCATATAAATTAAACTTATTTCATGGGATCACAGAAGTAGAGCTGGAGGGGATTCCAGAGGCCATCTGGTCTAACCTCCTCATTTTACTAAGGCCTAGGGAAGGCAAGTGACTTGCCCACAGTCCCACAGATAACAAACATCAGAGG